AGTTAATGATCTTCCTAGCATCTAAAAGTCTTTCCTAACGTTAAGTAATCCATTATAATTTAATCTCCTCCTTCTTGCATGCCGTGGTTAACACCCGATTCCTTTGCATCTGTTTCACCTTTCTTATATTTTCTTTTTCTAGCTTGTTCTGCTTCCACTAGTTAAGCCACTTCATTTCTTACGGCAACATGCCTGTCTAATTACTTTCTCCTGTTATTTCATGTTTTAATATTGAGTAAATTCTTGTTTATAGAACAAAAACTCTAGTATGTGTTCGTATCTGTGCTTTATTCTTGTTGTTTTGATTCAATCATACGTAGTAAGTCGAGTAATCGTATGACCTAATCATACGGTAAATACGAAACTGAACGGTTTTTTAACCGTTTAAAAGTAGCAAGGATTCAAAACCGTAGAAAATAAATTTAAGTGAACATTGATAGGCGTTTCGTTAGGAAATTGGCAATGGGGATACGTTTTAGTTGAGTCGTAGTTTATCAAATGAACAGTGGAATGTGGTTTAAATAGTTTGTCTGGTTGTTTCAACTAGATTAGATTTTATTGTATTACGAAATTTTATGGTCTGCCATGTATGCGTGAATGGAAATATCGTAATTTAAAAGTTCAGGGTCGCAAATTGGGGAGTGCAGGACACTGGGAACTCTTCATGCGTTGAAGGGAATGAAATATTATAGTGTCAACGTTGGTACTAAAACCCCCGTTCTGTTTGTCACGAGATTGACAGATTAGCCTTCTTGAATAGAATGTGTACCCAGCTGCAATGAACTAAATTGTTTCATTAGGTGGACTTAGTTAGAACGATGAAATTCTAATTGTTTAAGCGTATTAGGGGATAGCGTTTAATAGATAGTTTTTCTCACAGTTAACAGTTTGAATACCATCTTTTTTATGCTTATTTAACTATTTTGTTTGAATATGATGAAATAACAATTATGTTATTTAACATTTTTTTGAGAAATTTCTTACAGTGTAGGTCCATATTTGAGCCTTTTTCTTGCTGTTTAACTGATGATGCGAAGATTAAGTTTAAGAGGAAGAAGAAGTAAGTAAGTGTAGTTTTGTTGCTCATGGAGACTGAAGTGATAATGTTTTCTATTCCGAGTAGAAAACAAAAGAAGAAATTTATTGGATATTTAACTTAAAAGAAGATGAGAGATGTTTCTGTCTTGATTTGATTATGTTTGAAAGATTAAGTCATTTCCTATTCACAACGCATGCCCGCAAGTTATCCTGCTCCGAACTTATTAATTCATCAGTCTAACTGATGATAAAAATTTTTGCCGAAGCAATCTCTAAAACCGTTTCTGACAGACTCTTGTCATTCTGGCGCCCATCGAAAAAAAGTCTTTTATATGCTCTAACATTAGAGTGGAAGCTCTTCATTTATTTCTCTGAGGTTAAGAGTTTCTACCGACGGGAAAATACACTATTTTTTCTTAATTTCTGATAACTTATGATGGCCTGCAAATTTGTTTATTTCATCACTTTAGAGATCTACAAAAATATTGAATTTTTCTTATACATTTTTCAAATGTTTTGTTTGTTGTTTCTACAACTGCGTACTTTAAACAAAAGACAGGTTTTTTTTCTTCTTTCGACAATGCATGTGAACAACTGAAAGTCGAGCGATTGGAAATATCACAAAATGATTAAAAAGATGTCTGCGTATCAAAAAATGCCATGCCAGGCAATAATGTCCTTCAACTTATTTTAAAAAAGTGTAACTTGGTCATCGAAATCTCAAAATATTTTTCTTTATCCGCTTAAGCACTTATTATTCTCCTTAAAAATCAAAATTTTCCCGTTAGTGGGTCGACAGCAGTATGGAAATTAGTGTAAAATAATTTTTATCTTCATTTGGGTACTTGCACTTCAAGATGAAGATCACAGATACCCCTACATGGGACCTATGACGTCAGCTCCAACTGATCGTTTCTAAGCAAAATGGAGTGTTAAAGTCTAGCTAAGATTCTCCACTAGAATCTTCATTAACGTGAAATTAATTAACGTGATAAGCTTAATTAACGTGACCTAATTAACGTAAATTACCGTATCATGCACCGAATTTATTGAAATATAATCGGTCTCTTCTACGTCTTTTACTTTACTTAGATTTTTTATTTTTTTCTGTATTTTATTGTGAATGTGATGTATTTTTGTTTTGTGTGCCTGGCAATTTCGATGCATAGTTAGTTTGTTTATGCTCTACGTGACTTCTTGTCCATCTTTGTGTTAAGTAAGAAATATATAATGAAAGAATTCAAATCTTTGTGCAAGAATATAGAATGTATCATTTAAGAGAATTGATGCTTGACGGGCTTGGGTTACTTGAAATATAAAGGAAAGAACAGTTAACTTGAACAAATTTCCCGTTTCAACAACCAATCAGGATCGAAATATCCACACTACGTCACTTGCAGGTATGCCATTGTTAAAAAAATAATTCATTTTAATTACTCATTCTTTTAGTTAGATCAACTTTTAGTTAAGTTTACGTCAAATAAAATCTTCAATCTTTAATTTAAAGGAACCTTTTAAATGGTTAATCTATAAAAAATAATTTAAAAAGGCAATTATTCGAATTTCGAGAGTTTCCAGGAATTTTTGCAGCTTCATTATGAATTTAAAAAAAAAAATTATATAATATTCCCGAAACTGCCAACCGGGCTGTGTAGGGGTTAGAGAACTGCCCTTGCATCAGAAAGGCTCTGGGTTCGAATCCCGGGCAAGGCATGGATGTTCTTTCCATCTCTGTACTATCTGTCTTAATGTGGGTGCAACGTTAACCCACCTAATATGGTGCCCCTGAAAGAGTGGTCAACAAATCTGCCCTTCTGGTACCTGTATGACCTAGGTCATTCTCCAGGTGGGCATTGGAAAAAAATATTCCAGAAACTTTAACATTTGAAAATATAATATTTTATTATAGTAACATGCAATTTACTAAGGAAATGAATCAATTATATTAAATTTTTTATTATTTGAGTTAAAAATAAAATAATTATATTTTTATTGCAATTTTAAATTAAATATAAGTTTACAAATGTTAACTCCACAATTGTTTATTGCTTTAAAATGTCACAACTAATAAAATATTCCGTATTTATTTGTTTCAAACCATTAGAATCAATTCTCATAAGGAAAAATACATTTACCAAATGAAATTTTGAGAATACTGCGAGTAATTGAATAGCATTTAGGAAGACTTTTAATGGAAGTTCAATTTTAATCAGAGCAAAAATAATTTTTTTTTATTTATTCTTCGACTGAAAAGAATTAAATTGAATGAAATGAGAAATAGAAATTATCTCTTTTTAAAAAAAAATATAGATAGCAACATTTAAAGTTACTAATGTCGAAATGTTTAATGATATAAAGCGCATTACAACTGTAAATAAACAGAAACGATTGAATATTTGATGAATATATAATACTTTGTAATATTTGAATTTTTGCGTTATAAATATTAAAATGAGTCTGACTATTTATTATTAAATTTAAAATGAAATCATAAGCTACTGATGATACCGTACTTTAACGAAAGTTTTTATGGTAAACGTTTTATATACTATTTTTTACTATTTAAAATATTATTAAAAACGGGATGAATTTGCTTAACTTTTTTTTTTTTGAAATTAAGTATTTTGAATTTTATTGTTTGATAAGCATGCAGAATTTTGTCTCAACAATGAGTGATGCATATTTAAAAATTTAAAAATTCACTAACTTTAAAAAAATATGTTTTTAATGTTTGATTCAAATACATACGTTATTTACTAAATTTAAAAAAAAGAGTTATTTTGGCTAAAAGTTATCCATACATTAATTTTAAGCTCGAAAAAAAAATTTATTTCGGAGGAAAAAAATATTCTAATCTTTAGCACGACTTGAAATTCAATGGAAGAGTATAAAAAGAATCCAATCTTCATTTTGCGTTTCAATTCAGATGAAAGCATGCTTGTATTTTTTCTTTCAAAATTGGAAAAAGCGTTTTTTTTGCTAAAAAATATTATTATAATTTTAAAAACTTTTTGCATTCCAGTCCCTTTTAAGAAGTTTTTATTTCAAAGCTACGTAGGAAAAATGTCTTATAAAGCTACGTAGTAAAAATGTCTTATAAAGCTACGTAGTAAAAATGTCTTATAAAATAATGATAAAAATTAAAAAGATATGAAATACTGAAATTACTTAAAAAATACGTTAATTTACGTAAGCTCTTATTCAAATGGGTTTAATCACTTTTACATTTAAAAGATGTTTTTTCTAGTGCATTTCTTTAAATCAACATAAGTATTTTATTTCATGAATTCCAATGTATTTTCATTCATTTTTAAGGTCAGTAGTCTTTACAGAACATCTTGCATAGAATGGAAAGAGCTTACCGGGGATTTAACAAAATATTTTTACGAATTAAAGAAAAAAAAAGAGAAATGCAAGTAATTATGAATAACTACAATAGATAAATAAAATTCATCTTACTTTATCAAAAAAAGAGAAGTTATTGCAGCTTCACGTAACGCATAGTTAAATTACAGTTAACCTAAATCATTGTACAACGCACAAAATATTAAACGAGAATTCTTTGTAACTTTTGACTTATGTATTCAGTTATGACTTATATGAGATTTTGATTTAATGATTCAAACGACTACCTTTACCTAGCTTGAGAAACTAAGCTAATGATGTTTTAAGTTACAAAAGAAGAGCAATACCTTACTTTTTATTTAAAAAGATAAATTTTTTATCGATGAGTTTGTACGAAAAACAAAAATCAAATAAAAAAGGAGGAATTTTCAGTAACCAAAAATACTTTTACTCATGTTTTCTTTTCAAAAATAACGATTCCAACCAACTTCTTTCTCAATAAAAGAAAAAAATCTTCAAAAAAACATGACACAGGGCATTAAGCTTTCGAATTTAACAAAATAATGGCAGCTTACAGCGCTCCTTTTTGAATCAAAAGCAATCAAAATCTTTCTTACCGGTGACTGTTATTTTACCGGAACTGACACTGGTAACCATCTCACCGGTTAACTTGTGCCTCGTCTGACAGCGGTAACTCCAATTCGAGTCTTTTTCTTGTGTGTCATGGATCAAAAGCTCGCCAGATCTGAGAACGGTGTAAGACCTCGCTGCAAAAGACATCATAGATGAAATATTACATTAAATGAAAGTGCCGAAAACATAGAGATGAATGTTGACAACCATTCTTAGGGAATTCTTTGGGAAAAATCAATAAGAAATCATAACTTGAAACGCGATGAAAGTGTCAAGTAAATGTATTATTGAATTACATCACAGCGTAACTATCGGAATTCGTTGTTTCGGCATATAGCTTGCGTGAAAAAATAAATACATTTTGACAGCTGAAATTATATGTTACATCATTCTTTTACATCTTTATAAGTTTTCTATGAATTAAAATTAAAGTATCAAGTTTTAAATAAAAAATAATAATGTAAAATAAAGATTTTTTTTAACAGTGAAACATTTTAAAAATAAAATAATCAGCCGGAGACAAAATCATACTATAATTTATCAGGAGACTGAATCGTGTTATTGCTTTTATAATCAATTGTACAAGATGCTATTAGATTTCAAGGTTAGATGTTGAATGTGTAGAATCATACAACAACAAACAAAACGACGTAAATAAGCACAAATAAAAGTGTAGAAGTGAGCATACTATAGTTTCGATTCTATAAACGAAAGCTTTTCTCAATGTCAGAATTCTGAATGACAGTTTAGAAGTAAACAGACAAATGCGTATTATGTGGTTAAACCAATAGGAACAGAGAAAAAAGTTTGAACAAGACAATTAAAGAAGGGTGATGAGAAACAGGTGTGACATATTTAAAAATATTGGAAAACAATGGAATACTAAAATATCTTTAACTAAATTATAATAATTTTTTAAACTGCTTTCTGATTGCCAAAAATTAAATTTATTAGATAAAGAGAAGTGTCTTCTGACTTCAGCTGACGAAAAATCAAAAATGTGATTAGAATTCCAACTATGTAAAGCGATGGAAGATTGATACATGTTCTTATTTAGGACATATATTTAATTTTTTTTTTAAAGTTGAGTTAAGTAAAGTTGCGTAACAGCTCTAAGTCCAATGTACACAAGCCTGCGTGTGCCTGCCAGTGAGGTAACCAGGTTCGAGTCTCAGCGTTGGCTGGTCGAATTGAATTCCGCACCTGGCTTACACCGACCACAGTGATAACGTAAAATATCCTCAGTGGTATACGGATCATGGTTTAGGGTCCTCTTGTCGTCAGAGTAACAGTGAGAGTGTTTTCTTGGTCTTCCTGTCCATGTAACGCAAATGCGGGTACGTTCCATCGAAAAGTCCTCCACAATCGAATGCAAATTTCTCTCCATACTTGACCCAGGAGTTTCATTGTCTTCTGGATTGGGTACAAAATTACAAGGCAACGAGTTGAATATATGTAGTTGTAAACCCCAAATCTGTTCAACTACGGTTATAAAATAAAATAAAATATTTACAAGAGAGCCGTCCGGTGCCTCAGGGGATAGGTGCCTCATTCGCCTACCAATGAGGTAATCCACATTCAAATCCCAGCTTTGGTTGATCGATACGAATTTTGCTCCCGATTCGTACCAGCCACAATGCTGACATAAAAAAAAAATTGCAAGGTTGCAGGATTAAACATTGTTAATCGTACTCTCAAAATTACATTTACCCTCATAACCAATCACCCCAGCCTTTTAATCAAAACATAGCTGCTTTATTCGCATTTTTTTTAATGTGCTTCTAAAGTTTGAACTAATAGTTATCTCCCAAATGAAAACCTGCTTTACAATGAGGCGATCGCTTTGGACTACGATTTTCCTTCTAATATTATTGATTCCATTTATGGTAAATTAATCTCGAAATCCATCTAACTTCTTTAATTTGAACTTCAAGAATTTCACTCTTATTATTAGAAAGTCAGTCCTCAAATTTTAAAGATTTTTTCTAAATGTAAGTTTAAATTCATTTTTTTTAAATTTCGCTCGCAAATCAACTCAATTTTGCAAACCTTAAAGGACCCTAGTGTTGTCATTAACAGCTGAACAATTTTTCAAATCCCAAGATAGTATGGTCCTTATCTTATGCCAGTATGGTACGTGGGTCAACTAACCGTACCCTTAAACTTAGAGTAAAGAAAATGCGAAAGATATGTATAAAGACATTAGCCGCTCTCATTGTTTCCGTAGCTAAAATTCTAATTGCAGGATTTGAGCTTTCCTATGCTGAAATCATTCAGCACTGCTCTTCACCGACCGAACTTGATTTTTGGGAATCATTCTCTATTAAGAAACGAATAATTTTGGCGATACTCTCTCTAGAATCAAATCATTTCCCAGTTATATGGGAAATAGATTCTAATTAAATTTTTTACACCCTAGTGCTCCCGTCAAATTCTGTTATACATGTTTCTTGTCACGCTTTTTTTGGATTTTAGTTGTTCAAACTTCTTCTTCTGTCTTTATTGGTATATCTACTGTGGATGCGTTTGTTTCTTAAATAGTTTAGTGTCTAAAAAATGTGGAACGTCATTGTTTAGAAGACTGAAACTACAGTATGTGCATTTTAGCAGTTTTAGACAAGAGACAAAGCAACAACAGTAGGCTAAAAAACGGGTTTTGTTAAAGGTTTCGCGTATAATAGGCTTAAATAGTAATTGTTAACTAGAAAAACACCAAGTTTACCGAAAAACATTTGAACAATAATACTTGCACGAGGATAAGTGGTACTCCAAGATTAATATTTTTAAGATATTTTCAGTGTTTTGACTAAGTTATATACTTTTCAAATTAGAACCTGGAGATAAATTTTTTTCTTTAATTAGACATGATATAGACATAATACTTTCTGATGAGGTTAAAATAATATCTTAATATAATATTAATATTGCCATTAATAAATACACCAAAAAGAATATTATAATTTCGTAATGATGTGAGGTTATTTATATTTTATTTCTTTTAAAAAGAAATTTTCTTATATATCGCACCCTTGCTACAAAAGTGCCACAACTCAAAAATTGTAATTTTTGAGTTATGACCGTCATTAGACGTAGTTTACACGTCTCTACCAATCTTCAAAAGAGCCAGAAGTTGCATTGAAAAATCAGCCGCCAGAGGGCAGTTATGGCGTTTTGTTGTTATCAAGATGCATAGGACCCCTTCCACTGAAATGCCACATCTTGAGTTGTCGTCCAGCCGTCGTAGAGTAACGTGCGTATCGTTTATCTTCTAAACTGTTATATTTCGAGTTGTGGCGTTTTTTTTGTTTCAATTGGTAGTGATCAGTTGAGTGATTTTGAATTGCGGCATTTTAGATGATTCATTTGTGGAATAGGATTGTTTCGTATTTTGAATTATGTCGTTTTTGATGAATGAGTGAAAAACATTTGCTGGTTTGAACTCAAAATGTGTCACTTTTGGCGACATCGAGACATCTAAAATCCTCACCGATTTACGTACCTGCACAGTACGTGACTCTGATTCAGACAGCGAAAAAACAGGGTCCCCCTTACCGCGTTCATGAGCTCACATTCGAAGATTTTTATGACTTAAAACTGCTGCAAGAGCAATGGGGTAAAAACTTTAATATGGACACTGAGAAGAACAAAATAAAGTGGCAAGACATCAAGATACTTCGTGTCGAACAAGATCAACCTCGTTCATTCTTCTATAAAACATCCTACAGTGACGAAACTTTCAAGAAGGTAGACATGTGCAACAAGAAGAAAACTCGATCTAAAGAAGATTTGAATACCATCCAGTTGGTTCAGGCTTATTCAGCTAAGATTCCGTTGCCTGACAATAAAAAACGAGATATCCAAGATCTTGTTGATAAAAACATAGTCCCAAAGTTTTATTACAACTCTTTCTTTAAAACTATTCTTGAATAAGTTTGCAAAATGTAACCACGTGCTACCAGTTGTGAGCCTGATAGAAGAACATTAATTTCAAATATTTTAATTTGTTAAATTAAGTGGTACCTACCTACCAGGTTTTATTATTTTATGTAACCAGTTCTTTTGATTAACGTTTTTCTCGTTATATTATTATAATAATTTTGTAGACACAAAATGATCAGATCTCGTGTGGAATCTAGTGAAAGCAGCAATATGATATAATAATATAATATATAATATAATAATAATATAATATAATCTGCAATATGAGTGTACTGAAACTGTCGTCATTAGCATTACTATTTAATTATTCTTATCGTTCTTGTTGTTTTGAACTTTTTCACAGTTTATTATTCGTCAAAGAGTTTTGTTTGAGAAAAATAAAAATATTATTACTTTTTCATTAATTTGGGCAACTTTTTTTATTCACACATTACCCATTGTATTGTACCTACCTAGTTGATCTCTATTAGATCATTTAAAAACGTAAAATAAATCCATGATGGAGCAGTAACAAAACGTCGTAACTAAAAAGCTATTTTCATTTTAAGTCATCAAGAGTGTCATATGTCCAGAAAACAATCTTCGAAAGTGCCCCAACTCAAAATAATTTACTCCATTCTTTGTACGTGAGAAATCAAAACAGTCGTAACTTGAAAAATTTGAATTTTGAGTCGGAAAGATGGGAAAACTAGAACAATGACTAACGATCATAGTTTGAGATGTATCGGTCTTCATATTGACAAATTCAAAAATACTAAAATGTGCCTAGTCAGCCCGGGAACAGTTTTTTGCAATTCCTGGAAAACGTAGTTTTTTGAGTTGTGGCACTTTTGTAGCAAGGGTGCGATATGTCAATCTGAATTAAAGTAAGAGAGAGAATTTATTATAATTTTTTAAGAGGTAATTTTTTACGAAATCTCCAGAACATCTAAATCATCATGACTATGTCTAAATCTACTTGAACAGTTAAACACTTAGTAGTTCTTGTCCATTACGCAATAGGTACATGAGCGTAAATCAGAGTAACAACAAGACTTTTGGCATGCACATAAAATATTTTATTTCTTTTTTTTCGAGCTATTTGGTACAAATGGAATACTGTTCCAAAAAATGTTTATACTTTCTTCCTTTACTATCCATCCGTGTTCTGTAGGATTCGGAAAACTTTTTTTAAAAACAATAACGACAAATATAA